ACATTTTAAAAAATTTCAACAGACTAAAATCTAATATTTGGACTCGATCGGTTTGGCTGTTTGACGTTTATTTAAAATATATTCTGTAGATTTCCATAATTCTTCTTTAAACCCTTGAATGTTTAGAAAAAGGAGTATGTCTAAGAGAGCGGTTGACCAGGTGGAGGGGGTGGACGGTAACACCATGAGTCTCAGCCGGGAGATAATCGTTCTTGACTTCGGGGACGAGACAAACAACCCGTCTGACAACGTGGAAACTAATTTCTCCGGGAACTGTAAGTTTAACATTTTATAGTAATAATTTCAACTCTTATGTATTGGCTTACTTGCATCATTTTTCATTAATTTTTGCACATTTAAAACTTTAATGCCTCAATTTAGTTCTATGGGTAAATTTCCAAAAGAAAAGAAAATTATTAAGAATCCATACAAAAATTTGGCACAGGTCGGTTTAACCGTTTTGAAGTTTATTGGAAACAAAAAAAAACCGACATAGCAAAGAAAAGAATTTTGCATGAAAAATAAAATCTAAAAATAATGAAATTTCAGTGACTGATTTCAAACTTGACGCAGTTAATTGGAAGAGTGAGACTGTTTTCTCTACAATAGCTGAACCTGAATCCTGTCCCTCAAAATCCTCAGGTATAGGAGGGATACAATGTCGGAGGAGGAAATCAAAAGTTTGGAGGAACTTTGGTTCGGAGGGATGAATACTGAAAAGGAGGCAGTTAGCTTAAGAATTTCATTGGCAGTTAATTGGGAGACTGGAGGCAGTTTATTGGGAGACTGGAGTCAGTTAATTGGGAGACTGGAGGCAGTTAATTGGGAGACTGGAGGCAGTTAATTGGGAGACTGGAGGCAGTTAATTGGAAGACTGGAGGCCGTTAATTGGGAGACTGGAGGCAGTTAATTGGGAGACTGGAGGCAGTTAATTGGGAGACTGGAGGCAGTTAACTGAAAAGTTAGAGGCAGTGAATTGATGGGGTTTAGATTAGACGAAATGAAAACAATTAAAGGGACTGTATACGTAATCTTAAGTGACCCTTTAATGATAGTTTGGCATGTCTGATTCACAACAATACCCTTGAAAGCTTTGTCTGATTAGGTTTGAATTAGATATCCATTTTGTTTTCCAAAACTGTTTATTTTCATTTGTTGTTTCTCTGCAAAAGTGACTTGTGAATTTCTTGTGATTCAGAAACTTTGGAGAAAAATAGTTTAAGATAAAAAAATAATGATCATAGTAAGGTTTCATGAAAAATCCTTTATTTTTGTCTAAATATTGATAATTTTCACATCGTTTTTTTGGTTTCTTGTTTAACAATGATGTTTTAGTTCTTGCCTTGTCTGTGGTGTGTGCCCTGCTCNGGTTACGACCACGGGATTTTAGGGATCAGTGATTGATCCCTGTTGGGTTACGACCACGGGATTTTAGGGATCAGTGCTTGATCCCTGTTGGGTTACGACCACGGGATTTGAGGGATCAGTGCTTGATCCCTATTGGGTTACGACCACGGGATTAAGGGATCAGTGCTTGATCCCTGTTGAGCTACGACCACGGGATTTGAGGGATCAGTGCTTGATGGGTTACGACCACGGGATTATTATAAACTAACATTATTCTTCAGACGACAAGATACGGATAACTAGCGACTTAATCCGGGGATTTACAACACAAAAGTTTTGACCACAGAGCTGTGACTTAAAAAACATAAATCAAAGTAAAGTCCGGCCTTATCGTCAAATTTAGGCCAGTAAACCCTAAACAATGTGTTGAGAATAAGGGCCTGAAAAGCTCATTCCTTTTTTCATATAATTTTTTTCAAATAATTTTTTATATAATTGTTTTTTGTTTGTTTTAGAGTGATACTGACCAATCAGAAGGAGCGAAGTATTAATAGCTCAATATTTCGTGGATAAAGAAATGATGTATGAAGATATAAAAACATAGATCTTTATACATATAAATAGATAGATGTATAGCTAGATAGATCCAGATAGATGGAGAAATTATTTCCCTAAACAATTACAATAAACCCAAAAATATCTCTACAATATAGTTAGTTAATGAATGTATATATATATAAAATATTAATGTGTTTTTATCATTTGTAAACTGTGAATGAACAAAATGCCAAACTATCAATATTAACACTGTTAGAAAAGAAATTTTATATTTTATTAGAAATAACGAACTCCCGAAATCATCAGAAGAGCATTTTAGATTTATCTCATAACGTTTTATCTGGACTTAACTCAGTGTTAAGAAAAAAAGTTAAGAGAATTACTATACAAAAATGCTTATACTCTAACAAAATGTTTAATATTTCGAAAAAAATATTAGATTTTTTACTTGTTCTAACAGTGCAAGGTAATGGGGTCTTAGACAAAATAAAAGGTCATTGTGTATTTTTATCGTGTACTGCAAACCAAACCAAACATAAATAAAAGGTTATCGTGTACGGTGTACTGCAAACCAAACCTTACAAATTCAACTGCCATTTAATATAAATGCAGTCCAACAACTTCTTTTAAAGCACAGTCCCATTATTAATTATGTATACAGTACGATTAGTAATTATGTATACAGTCCCATTAGTAAATGTGTATACAGTCCCTTTAGTAAATGTGTATACAGTCCCTTTAGTAAATGTGTATACAGTCACTTTAGTAAATGTGAATAGTTTCAAAATTTAACACACTATCTCTTTATTCAGTTGTCTAAAGTTATATCAAATTTTTCATAAGAATTCCGTCTGCCATGCGATTTGAATTTCTATCTTCCAATTCTAATTTTTATTTGAAATAAATACCAAAAAATGTAGAGCTTGAAAATGAATCCCCTCTATTAAATTAAATTAAATTGTCTGTTAATGATTATAATTTTTGTTCGTAATTTTGGGACTTTTTCATGTAAATTGGCAAGGTATCTCTGTTGACAACGTATTCCCCCCCCTTCATTTTTTACGATTTATTTAAATCATCCTCAAATATTTATGTAAATTATGTATACTCTCATATGCTAGAATCTCTTTATACGTAATAATGTCGTCTTCCAAATCCAAAGACAGAAAATCAGGGAAAAATAGTTCATCTGTTTCAACTTTAAACGTACTTTCAACTCAATTTTTTCTCTGATTTTTATGTTTTCATATCTGATAAGTTTTCAAATGTGATTAAATAATTGTGTAAATAAAACTTAGTTGTAAACAATAAACTTGAAAATAAACTTAATATATAGTAAAACATTATTTAAAACTATAGTGTTCCATGTGCTCCCCTTTTTAAATTAATTTTAGCGTAAAAATTAAATTTTTGCCTGCATTACTTTTTTGTTGTCTATGCGCATATATTTAACTGTAAACTCCGGTTTATTTGAAGTACCAGGCCGACTTTTTATATTCAGCTATAGATCAAGTTGAATGTGATTTGCCACGTCCTTCAATTCGATGTAAAAAATTCGTAGATTTTATTTCCATTGACAGTTTTTCTTGAGACTTGAGGAAATTAAATCCTTTTCTCAAATTTTTTCTAACTTTTTTTTTGATTTTTTTCAAAATAAACTAGGTTTATAGGGCGCCTAATGTGTCCAATTAGCAATTTTAGCTTTTAACAGTTGCTCTAGGAGTTGCCATTTTAAATCGTTCTCAAAATTTCGCGGTTTTTTTAAATAAAATACTTAAATGGCGAGCTAAAACTCTTTAATTATGACGATCTGAAGGTTGAAAGGAATTGAGTCTTTGCCACAAACTCTGGTTTTCTAATCCCTCTATCTTTGCAACCTGATAGTGTAAACCTATGATATTTAAACTTAGTTTATTTGACCCAACAAGAGTTATGGTTTGAAGTATCCAAAGTCAACGACATTGGATTGCAAAGATATAGGAGAAAAGAAAACCATAGTGTGGCAAAGACTCAATTCCTTTGGGTTTTTTCCTTGAACATAAAGTGGGAAGATACACGTTTGGATTTGGCAAAGAAAGAAACAACTTACAGCATGCAGAGATCCGTGAGTGTAAGAAACAAGACCCAAACTATAAGTACAGTCGTCTCTGAAGTCGCATACTTTGTGGATAACCATGCATCTCTTTAAGAAAAATTCTGCCAATAAAATGGTGGATATTTTGTGCGTTTTTTTCATAAAAGCTTGGAGATACGACGACATACAAATAATTTACATATACTAATCTTTTTTCTTAGCGGATTTTCCTGTTTTTAAACTTTAAAGGCGGTTTTCAACTTTTTAAAGAAATTTTATCAAAATTTCTGTCATCCTTATTTCTTCCCCTAACTTTTCCTGGGGTCAATAGAGTTACCCCCGGAAAATAGTTGGGCCTAATCGGTTCAGCCGTGTTGACGTTTATTGGATACAAACAAGCAGACAAGCCAAAATACATGGGAAAGACGAGTGTTCTCAGAAAACTTTTTTTTCATCCGACCAACGAAAAATGCCCATCCGACCTACGAAAAATGCCCATTCGACCTACAAAAAGTGCCCATCTGACCTACAAAATTGAGTGGCCGTCCGACTGCAGCATACAATTAATTATTTCTACCCTACTGCGCTATAAGCATATGACAAAAGCTGCTGAATGTCGGTTGGGCAAGAAGATATGCCCATCCTGCCGACCTACAGCTGTCGTAGGTCAGATGTTGCAGTAGGTCGGTTGGGCAGTATAGCGGATGGGCAATAGAACGGATGGGCAGTAGAGCGGATCAACATTACCGACTAATTGTCCGTAGATCGTCTTTACATTCTCGAGATAGATAGATATATGGAGAGAGAGCGAGAGAGCGAGAAAGAGAGAGAGTACACTTGAGTCAGTTAATCAGCTGTTTGTGTACATTCATATGATTAAACAAACCACCGAGAATTGTCTTAAAGTTTTAATTTAAATAAAACAATTACAGAAAAGAAGAAGAGGTAAGAGGTCTACAATTAATTTGGAACTTAGGAAAATACATAAACCTCCATTGAAATCCTATACAAAGGAAGAGTGTAAACACGACTTGATACAATCAAAATATGACAATTTCAAGGTAAAGTCGTGTGCTTAAATATTGTATTATAATGGCTTACTTAATGATTTGACAACTAAGGAAACCAGTCTACAGTCGCGGGAAATCATGAATTTTATGAAACAGACTGTAAATATTCCGAACAGTCGTTTCTGAAGTCTCATCAGGGAGTAAGGAATAGAAGGGAGATATAACTGACGCGGTTCGCCCTACCATTTGATTATACATGCTTTGCAGACGGGTACTCCATTTGAAAAGGATTTATTTGTCTGATGTACAATTACCGCGTATACAATATCCTTTTCTGAATATTTCATATAGAAATGGAGTACCGTCTGCAAAGCATGTATAATCATATGGTAGGGCGAACTGCGTTAGTTATATCTCCTTTCTATTCCTTACTCCCTGATTCTCATCCTGTGTGGGTACCCCTGTATATCCCCTGTATATAACCAAATTCTTTGTATACATAGGATTCTATTCTAGGTGAATAAACAGCTGTTCTCAAAATGTCCGCAGTTATCAGAACAGCGAGAAGGACTTTTCATCCTGTCTTCCAGTGGTCAGGTGAAGGATTTCTTGACTGGGGTTTTTATTTTCTAGAATTCTCGTGCCGCGGGGGGGGGGGGGCGGTTTTATGCTCTGGGGAATATTAATTAAAAAATAAGTTTTAAAAAGAAAGTTTTTTTAACTTATTATTACATTTTACTCAAAAATGCTTTGATTTTTCTCAAAAATAATTTTTCCCACCAATATACCATACATCTGAGGAAAAACGTGACACGTGACAGGGATGTATAATGAAAAGAATTTCAATTAAAATTAATTTTCATAAATTGGGTAGAAAAGGTTAAATTTTTTTCATCCTTAGGTTCTAAAACTATTTACAATAATTTATTTATTTTTCCTTAGAACTCAATTATTTTTCCCAATTTATCTCAGAAAATGATGTTCAAAGAAATGTGGTGGGGTGTGTGTGTACGTGTGCTTTTTAAATCATAATGCACCCCTGAAATTCATCCTTCTCCCAAGGCAATGTCTTAAAAAATATATACCCCTGGCCTTGCTGCGCGTTTATCATTGAATCTCTCTGGGGTTTAAATTTCCATTGATTCTAATTTGTCATATAAATGACATTCCTTTGTAAAAAAATACAAATTATTTTATTATTTATTATTATTTTAAAAAGGGCGGGATTAAATGAAAATTGTTACATATCAAAAAACCAGCTTTTTGTAAAGAAATGTTCATTTTCAGGATGCAATTATATCCCTCGGAATATTTTTCCTCGAGTCTTCTTTCTCACACAGGTAAACTTACATATACAGAGCGTCCCATATCATATAAGATTATCTCCAATCTTTAACACCAAAATAAACCCTTAATACTCGAAAAACTTATCATTTTCCACAAGAAAATTCTTATATAAGCCTTAAGTTATTTTTCAAAATGATTCATTCTAATGATATTTTCTAATTAGTCCCGAAAATCGTAATTTAGACCCGTTCCCGGTCTAATATGATGTGGGACACCCTGTACTTTGCTTGTTTGTTTGTACAGCAAATAGACGTCAAAACGGCAGAACAGATCGGGCCCTAACTTTTTGTGGTAACTGACATGACCCCAGGGAATTTACAATTTTAATGGTTGGTGTAAGATGAAAAAATATACAATTTAGCTAGATAATATTAAAAATATACAATTTAGCTAGATAATAATAAAAATATACAATTTAGCTAGATAATAATAAAAATATACAATTTAGCTAGATAATAATAAAAATATACAATTTAGCTAGATAATAATAAAAATATACAATTTAGCTATATAATAATAAAAATATACAATTTAGTTAGATAATAATGAAAATGGCAACTTTAAGAACAATGTTTAAACACTTACACACATAAAACTTGTAAATATGATTTTGTATATGCTACACTTTTTTGCGCCCTTGATCTCAATGTGCGTCCCTAATGTGATTAATCAATAATGAGCCTCATTAAGCGTTCTAATATCTATAAAAACTTAGTCATTTTTACATTTTTTTCCACATATTGTTACTTACTTTTTTCTACCTGGTTTTCTACCTACCTATATACATATCCACCTACCTACCTACCTTTCTCTAACTCTGTTTACTTTTCTACCTACCTACCTTCCTATCCACCTATCTACCTACCTTCCTCCTACTCTGTTTACTTTTCTGCCTACCTACCTACCCACCTACCTACCTACCTACCTACCTACCTACCTACCTACCTACCTACCTACCTACCTACCTACCTACCTACCTACCTAGGGAGAAGATTTTGGACTACCTTTTAACCCTGCTACGAGGAATGGCTACGGCAGTATTTCCAGACGAGATTTCTGTCTTCAAATCCCACAGTGAGTTCATTAAATCAAACAATATTTTGTTCATTTAAAAAATACATTCCAACCTAAGAAAGTAAGATACAGGATGACTAGTACAAACGATAATAGGAACAAATGACCGTCTGCATTTTGCATTGAATACATTTATCAATTACTAAATGAATTTATATTGTGATTTAAAAAAAATATTTTTAAAAAATTCCAATTTGTTAATTTTTTTGTTTGTTCAGAAATACCTCCGGCGGAGACGTTCTCGTTCTGTTTTAACACTTTACTGAACGATATTGCTGCATCTAATCCGGATATAGCAGATAGGATTATAGATACACAGGTACAGATTTCATTGATTGATAGGATTATAGGTATTGATTGATAGGATTATAGATACACAGTTACAGATTTCAGTGATTGATAGGATTATAGATAAACAGGTACAGATTTCATTGATTGATAGGATTATAGATACACAGGTACAGATTTCATTGATTGAAAGGATTATAGATACACAGGTACAAATTTCATTGATTGATAGGATTATAGATACACAGGTACAGATTTCATTGATTGATAGGATTATAGATACACAGGTACAGATTTCATTGATTGATAGGATTATAGATACACAGTTAATTGATTGATTGATTAAACTGCCACCATAAGGTTGAGTTGATGACGTCTATAATGAGTACTCTACAGGAGATGAAAAAACATGTAACGCCTTTCCCCTTCAATACAAGGTAAACTGTATACCCCGCCACAAGTATATCTTATACACCCATTCCCAGCTTATAAACTGTATACTCCGCCTCTAGTATACTTTATACCCCCATTTCCAACTTATAAACTGTATACCCCAACACAAGTATACCTTATACCCCCAATCCCAACTTTTAAACGGTATACCCAGCCACTAGTATACTTAAATACTAGTATATCTTATACCCCACCACTAGTATACATTATACCCCGGCAATAGTATACTTTACACCCCCCACTGATATACTTAACACCCCGCTTTATATACTTTATATACCGCCACTAGTATACTATATAACCCGCCATTTGTATTATTTATAACCCGCCGGCCACTTATACACATTATACCCCGCAACTTGTGTTCATTTACATTTTTTTACTTAATTAAAGGATAAAAAAGTTAGGATGAAAAAATTTAAGATGAGGCCTTTTGGGGAATTTTTTTCTTTAAAAAAAAAATATCCTGATTAAATTGTCTATAATTATTAATACTTTTCTGTGAAGATTAAGATTCATCAAATTGATTTAATTTAGGAAGACGATATGTAAAAGCTTGGTGCCCGTTCTGCTCGGCTTAGCTAGAGCAATGGCTAGGTAATAACCTGTTTTTTATATTTACTCTTGAACTGTTCAACTTATCTATTCTAGGTTGATCTCTAAACTTATTCATATCTACTCTTGAACTGTTCAACTAATCTATTCTAGATTGATCTATAAACTTATTCATATTTACTCTTGAACTGTTCAACTAATCTATTCTACACTGTTTTCTAAACTTATTCATATTTACTCTTGAACTGTTCAACTAATCTATTCTAGATTGATCTCTAAACTTATTCATATTTACTCTTGAACTGTTCAACTTATCTATTCTAGATTGATCTCTAAACTTATTCATATTTACTCTTGAACTGTTCAACTAATCTATTCTAGATTGATCTATAAACTTATTCATATTTACTCTTGAACTTTTCAAGTACAATGATAAACAGAAAGCTCATAAATAGGAAGTAGGCTCAATTCATGACTTTAAATAGTCCAATAAGCAAGGTACACAGCAATTGTGTAGTGTAAACAGACCAATTTTACTTAATCAGGGATTTAATAAGTGTGTTAAGGCCTAATCATGTTATAGAAAGACTATTTATTGATTTGAACTAATTGATTGATTGTTATTAATTAATTGCATTAATGAATGGATTGATTGATTGATTAAATGATTTATGTAGTTTTTGTAAATATGTAAAGTATTGCTTGCTTGCATTACCCATCTATTTTTTTTGAGTTGGCTAAATTTGTTAACTGTATTGCTACTTTTGTATTAAATAATTAATAATAATTAATAATTTCATCATTAATAAATTGTACTTATGCTTTGATCGGTTTATTATATGATTTATTGGTTAATTAACTGTCAGTCTTATTGATTGGCGGATTGATCGATTGATCGATAGATTGATTTTTTATTGATAAGGTTTCCCCAGCCTGGAGA